TTATTTTAATTAAATTATTATTACCATTATTATTATCATTATACTATTATTATCATTAATATTATCATTATATTATTATCTTTATTATTATCATTATTATTGTCATTATTATTATTATCATCATTATTATCATCATTATTATTAAACAAATCCATAAAATTCCGGAACGAAAAGAAAGTTCGAACCGCCAACGAACCGGCGCTGACGAATTCGTAGCGGAGTTCGAAGCCTTTGCCGCCGACGGACGAGTCGGTGACGAAGCGGACGCGGACGCGGTTGCTGAGCGAGGCCAGGGGGGCGGGGGGCGCGGCGCCGCACAGGCGGGATCTGGGGGGAGAAGGAGGGAATGAGGAGAGAGAGAATAAAGAGAATGAGGAGAGGGAGAATGAGAGAATAAGGAGAGAGAGAATGAGAGAATAAGGAGAGAGAGAATGAGAGAATAAGGAGAGAGAGAATGAGAGAATAAGGAGAGAGAGAATGAGGAAGAGAATGCGGGGAGGGACAGAGAATGAGGAGAAAGAATATGAGGAGAGAGAGAGAATAAAGACAGAATGAGAAATAGAATGCGGAGAAAGAGAGGGTGCAGAAAGGGCGAAAGGAGAAACGAAGAGGGAAAGGGGATAGAAAGACAAAGCAAAATGAAAGAAAGGAAATTAGAACAAAAATCAAGGAAAAAAGAAACAAGAACAAAAAATAAATAAATAAATAAATAAATAATAAAAATAAAAATCAAAATAAAAAAGATGAAATAAATATACACAAAATTAGAGGGAAAACCACATCAAAAGAAGATAAAGATTGGAAGATAAAGTAAATAAAAAGAAAGAAAAAGAAGAAACAAAACAAACAGAAAATAAGAAAGAACACTCAAAAGACAAGAACAATCAAGTAAAAATGAAAATCCAAGCAAACTGAATAAAGAAAGGAAGACAGAAAACCAAAGTCAAAAAATCGAATCAGCAAAACGAATGTTGAAAGAATAAGAAAAAAAAAAAAAAAAAAAATCAAAGCAAAAAGGAAAAGTTAGGGACCGACCCGCCCAGAGGCCGCGCGAGCGCCGCCGCGTCGAGCAGCTCGACGTAATCGCAGCTACAGGAGCTGCAGGACTCGACGTCGAAGGCGACGAAGGCGAACAGGATGGTCGCGTCCTCCGGCGCCACGACCTCCCACTCGCACGAGAGGCCGTTGGGGTACGAGGAGGCCGAGGAGGCGCTCACGGTGCCTGAGGGCGCCGTCAGGACTGCGGGGGAGGGGGGTGTTCGGTGAAATGGTGGAAAAATACTAAAGAGAAGATAATAAATACGAGAAATAATAAAGACAAGACAATAAACAAGACGATAAACAGACGCCCGTTGGGAATATCTCCAATAAACAAAAACAGCCTGATGTTGATCCTAAGAAACAATCAAGTAAGAAGACGGCGAAGAACAACTCGTTTCCAGAAGCCGATTCCCCGCAAAGCAAAGGATCCTCACGGCTGTGGGCGGCGCAGAGGGGGGCGGGCGTGGTCGTGTCGATCCAAACTCCCGTCGTGAACGCGGACGTGGTGGTCGTCTCGAGCCCTGGGGTCGATGTGCGTGACGTGCCTTCGGGGCAGAAAGGTGACGTCACTGTACTTGCGTCCCTCTCCCCCCCCCACTCCCTCCCCTCTTTCGTTATTAACGTTAGCGTTATCATAATTATAAATGATATTATTGCTAACATTATTACTACTACTATCATTAGCATTAATATTATGATTATAGTCATTATTATTATTATCACAATTCTTAATATTATGAGCATCATCATTACACTATATAGTCATCCACTATACAATTACATAGATCCATATGTCCATAAACATTTTTTTTTTTATCGCATCGCAGCGAAAACCGAAACAGAATCGCATCGCCAACGAACCGGCGCTGACGAATTCGTAGCGGAGTTCGAAGCCTTTGCCGCCGACGGACGAGTCGGTGACGAAGCGGACGCGGACGCGGTTGCTGAGCGAGGCCAGGGGGGCGGGGGGCGCGGCGCCGCACAGGCGGGATCTGGGGGGGAGAAGGAGGGAATGAGGAGAGAGAATAAAGAGAATGAGGAGAGGGAGAATGAGAGAATAAGGAGAGAGAGAGAGAATGAGAGAATAAGGAGAGAGAGAGAATGAGAGAATAAGGAGAGAGAGAATGAGAGAATAAGGAGAGAGAGAATGAGGAAGAGAATGCGGGGAGGGACAGAGAATGAGGAGAAAGAATATGGGGAGAGAGAGAGTAAAGACAGAGAGAATGAGAAAGATAATGCAGGGAGATATAGAAAAAAGAGTGAGAGAAGAGAGAAAGAATGAGAAATAGAATGCAGAGAGAGAAAGAGAGGGTGGAGAAAGGCAGAAAGGAGAAACGAAGAGGGAAAGAGGAGAGAAAGGCATAGCAAAATGAAAGAAAGGAAATCAGACCAAAAATCAAGGAAAAAAGAAACAAGAACAAAAAAAATAAATAAATAAATAATAAAAATCAAAATCAAATTTAAAAAGATGAAATAAATCTAAACAAAATTAAAGAGGAAAAAACACGCCAAAAGAAGGTAAAGATTGGAAAACAAAGTAAACAAAAAACAAGAAAATGATGAAACTCAAAATGTAAAAATAAAATAAAAAAAAAAAACACTGAAAAGAAAATCCAAGCAAACTGAATAAAGAAAGGAAGACACAAAACCAAAGATAAAAACGAATGCTGAAAAAAGAAAAAAAAATCAAAGCAAAAAGGAAAAGGGAAAAGGGCAGGGACCGACCCGCCCAGAGGCTGCCCGGGCGCCGCCGCGTCGAGCAGCTCGACGTAATCGCAGCTACAGGAGCTGCAGGACTCGACGTCGAAGGCGACGAAGGCGAACAGGATGGTCGCGTCCTCCGGCGCCACGACCTCCCACTCGCACGAGAGGCCGTTGGGGTACGAGGAGGCCGAGGAGGCGCTCACGGTGCCCGAGGGCGCCGTCAGGACTGCGGGGGAGGGGGGTGTTCGGTGAAATGGTGGAAAAATAATAAAGATAATAAATACGAGAAATAATAAAGATAAAATAATAATTGGGAATATCTCCAATAAACAAAAACATCCTGATGTTGATCTTAAGAAACAATCAAGAAGACGGCGAAGAACAACTCGTTTCCAGAAGCCGATTCCCCGCAAAGCAAAGGATCCTCACGGCTGTGGGCGGCGCAGAGGGGGGCGGGCGTGGTCGTGTCGATCCAAACTAACGTCGTGAACGCGGACGTGGTGGTCGTCTCGAGCCCTGGGGTCGATGTGCGTGACGTGCCTTCGGGGCAGAAAGGTGACGTCACTGTGCTTGCGTCCCTCTTCCCCCCCCCCCCCCACTCCCTCCCCTCTTTCGTTATTAACGTTAGCATTATCATAATTATAAATGATATTATTGCTAACATTATTACTACTACTATCATTAGCATTAATATTATGATTATAGTCATTATTATTATCACTATCCTTAATATTATGAGCATTATTACACTATATAGTCATCCACTATACAGTTACATAGATCCATATATCCATAAACAATTTTTTTTTCTTTTTTTTTTATCGCAGCGAAAACCGAAACAGAATCGCATCGCCAACGAACCGGCGCTGACGAATTCGTAGCGGAGTTCGAAGCCTTTGCCGCCGACGGACGAGTCGGTGACGAAGCGGACGCGGACGCGGTTGCTGAGCGAGGCCAGGGGGGCGGGGGGCGCGGCGCCGCACAGGCGGGATCTGGGGGGAGAAGGAGGGAATGAGGAGAGAGAATAAAGAGAGAATAAGGAGAGAGAGAGAGAATGAGAGAATAAGGAGAGAGAGAGAATGAGAGAATAAGGAGAGAGAATGAGAGAATAAGGAGAGAGAATGAGGAAGAGAATGCGGGGAGGGACAGAGAATGAGGAGAAAGAATATGGGGAGAGAGAGAGTAAAGACAGAGAGAATGAGAAAGATAATGCAAGGAGATATAGAAAAAAGAGTGAGAGAAGAGAGAAAGAATGAGAAATAGAATGCAGAGAGAGAAAGAGAGGGTGGAGAAAGGCAGAAAGGAGAAACGAAGAGGGAAAGAGGAGAGAAAGGCATAGGCAAAATGAAAGAAAGAATCAGACCAAAAATCAAGGAAAAAAGAAACGAGAAAAAGGAAAAAAGGAAATCAGACCAAAATCAACGAAAATAAATAATAAAAAAATCTAAAATCTAAATTAAAAAGATGAAATAAATCTAAACAAAATTAAAGAGGAAAAAACACGCCAAAAGAAGGTAAAGATGGGAAAACAAAGTAAACAAAAAACAAGAAAAAGATGAAACTCAAAATATAAAAAGAAAATAAAAAAAAACACTGAAAAGAAAATCCAAGCAAACTGAATAAAGAAAGGAAGACACAAAACCAAAGATAAAAACGAATGCTGAAAAAAGAAAAAAAATCAAAGCAAAAAGGAAAAGGGAAAAGGGCAGGGACCGACCCGCCCAGAGGCTGCCCGGGCGCCGCCGCGTCGAGCAGCTCGACGTAATCGCAGCTACAGGAGCTGCAGGACTCGACGTCGAAGGCGACGAAGGCGAACAGGATGGTCGCGTCCTCCGGCGCCACGACCTCCCACTCGCACGAGAGGCCGTTGGGATACGAGGAGGTCGAGGAGGCACTCACGGTCCCCGAGGGCGCCGTCAGGACTGCGGGGGAGGGGGGAGGGGGGTGTTCGGTGAAATGGTGGAAAAATAATAAAGATAATAAATACGAGAAATAATAAAGATAAAATAATAATTGGGAATATCTCCAATAAACAAAAACAGCCTGATGTTGATCCTAAGAAACAATCAAGTAAGAAGACGGCGAAGAACAACTCGTTTCCAGAAGCCGATTCCCCCCCCCCCCCCCCCCCCCCCCCCCCCCCCCCCCCCCCCCCCCCCCCCCCCCCCCCCCCCCCCCCCCCCCCCCCCCCCCCCCCCCCCCCCCCCCCCCCCCCCCCCCCCCCCCCCCCCCCCCCCCCCCCCCCCCCCCCCCCCCCCCCCCCCCCCCCCCCCCCCCCCCCCCCCCCCCCCCCCCCCCCCCCCCCCCCCCCCCCCCCCCCCCCCCCCCCCCCCCCCCCCCCCCCCCCCCCCCCCCCCCCCCCCCCCCCCCCCCCCCCCCCCCCCCCCCCCCCCCCCCCCCCCCCCCCCCCCCCCCCCCCCCCCCCCCCCCCCCCCCCCCCCCCCCCCCCCCCCCCCCCCCCCCCCCCCCTCCCCCCCTACTCCCTCCCCTCTTTCCTTATTAGCATTAGCGTTATCTTAATCATAATCAATATTATTGCTACCATTATTAATACTATAATAACCATTATCGTTTTTAGCATTAATATATTTACTATTAAATTTGTTAAATTTACTATTATCCTCATTACTACTAGATCATTATTATAATCATCACTATCATTACCTTTATGAGTATCATCATTACACTATACCGTCATCCACAATTACATAGATCCATATACACATAAACCATTTTTTTTTTTAATCGCATCGCAGCGCAAACCAAAACAGAATCGCATCGCCAACGAACCGGCGCTGACGAATTCGTAGCGGAGTTCGAAGCCTTTGCCGCCGACGGACGAGTCGGTGACGAAGCGGACGCGGACGCGGTTGCTGAGCGAGGCCAGGGGGGCGGGGGGCGCGGCGCCGCACAGGCGGGATCTGGGGGGAGGAGGGAATGAGAAAGAATAAGGAGAGAGAGAATGAGAGAATGAGGAGAGAGAGAATGAGGAAGAGAATGCGTGGAGGGACTGAGAATGAGGAGAAAGAATATGGGAAGATAGAGAGAGAATTAGGAAAGAGGGAATGAGGAGAGAGAATGAAACAGAGAATGTTGGGAGGGAGAGAGAATAAGGAGAGAGAGAATGAGAGAATAAGGAGAGAGAGAATGAGAGAATAAGGAGAGAGAGAATGAGAGAATAAGGAGAGAGAGAATGAGAGAATAAGGAGAGAGAGAATGAGAGAATAAGGAGAGAGAGAATGAGAGAATAAGGAGAGAGAGAATGAGAGAATAAGGAGAGAGAGAATGAGAGAATAAGGAGAGAGAGAATGAGAGAATAAGGAGAGAGAGAATGAGAGAATAAGGAGAGAGAGAATGAGAGAATAAGGAGAGAGAGAATGAGAGAATAAGGAGAGAGAGAATGAGAGAATAAGGAGAGAGAGAATGAGAGAATAAGGAGAGAGAGAATGAGAGAATAAGGAGAGAGAGAATGAGAGAATAAGGAGAGAGAGAATGAGAGAATAAGGAGAGAGAGAATGAGAGAATAAGGAGAGAGAGAATGAGAGAATAAGGAGAGAGAGAATGAGAGAATAAGGAGAGAGAGAATGAGAGAATAAGGAGAGAGAGAATGAGAGAATAAGGAGAGAGAGAATGAGAGAATAAGGAGAGAGAGAATGAGAGAATAAGGAGAGAGAGAATGAGAGAATAAGGAGAGAGAGAATGAGAGAATAAGGAGAGAGAGAATGAGAGAATAAGGAGAGAGAGAATGAGAGAATAAGGAGAGAGAGAATGAGAGAATAAGGAGAGAGAGAATGAGAGAATAAGGAGAGAGAGAATGAGAGAATAAGGAGAGAGAGAATGAGAGAATAAGGAGAGAGAGAATGAGAGAATAAGGAGAGAGAGAATGAGAGAATAAGGAGAGAGAGAATGAGAGAATAAGGAGAGAGAGAATGAGAGAATAAGGAGAGAGAGAATGAGAGAATAAGGAGAGAGAGAATGAGAGAATAAGGAGAGAGAGAATGAGAGAATAAGGAGAGAGAGAATGCGGAGAAAGAGAAAGAAAGAGAATGATATAGAAAAAGAAAAAAAGAAAGAGTGAGAGAAGAGAAAATGAGAAATAGAATGCAGAGAGAGAGAAAGACAGGGTGGAGAAAGGGAGAAAGGAGAAACGAAGAGGGAAAGAGGAAAGACAAAGCAAAATGGATGAAAGGAAATCAGACCAAAAATCAAGGAAAAAAGAAACAAGAACAAAAAAAAAAAAAAAAAAAAAAAAAAAAAAAAAAAAAAAAAAAAAAAAAAAAAAAAAAAAAAAAAAAAAAAAAAAAAAAAAAAAAAAAAAAAAAAAAAAAAAAAAAAAAAAAAAAAAGGTAAAGATGGGAAAACAAAGTAAACAAAAAACAAGAAAAAGATGAAACTCATAATATAAAAAGAAAAAAAAAAACACTGAAAAGAAAATCCAAGCAAACTGAATAAAGAAAGGAAGACACAAAACCAAAGATAAAAAACGAATGCTGAAAAAAGAAAAAAAATCAAAGCAAAAAGGAAAAGGGAAAAGGGCAGGGACCGACCCGCCCAGAGGCTGCCCGGGCGCCGCCGCGTCGAGCAGCTCGACGTAATCGCAGCTACAGGAGCTGCAGGACTCGACGTCGAAGGCGACGAAGGCGAACAGGATGGTCGCGTCCTCCGGCGCCACGACCTCCCACTCGCACGAGAGGCCGTTGGGGTACGAGGAGGTCGAGGAGGCACTCACGGTCCCCGAGGGCGCCGTCAGGACTGCGGGGGAGGGGGGAGGGGGGTGTTCGGTGAAATGGTGGAAAAATAATAAAAATAAATACGAGAATAACGAATAATAAGATAAAATAATAATTGGGAATATCTCCAATAAACAAAAACAGCCTGATGTTGATCCTAAGAAACAATCAAGTAAGAAGACGGCGAAGAACAACTCGTTTCCAGAAGCCGATTCCCCGCAAAGCAAAGGATCCTCACGGCTGTGGGCGGCGCAGAGGGGGGCGGGCGTGGTCGTGTCGTACCAAACTCCCGTCGTGAACGCGGACGTGGTGGTCGTCTCGAGCCCTGGGGTCGATGTGCGTGACGTGCCTTCGGGGCAGAAAGGTGACGTCACTGTGCTTGCGTCCCTCTTCCCCCCCCCCACTCCCTCCCCTCTTTCCTTATTAACGTCAGCGTTATCATAATTATAAATGGTATTATTCCTAACATTATTACTACTACTATTATTAGCATTAATAATATTCTGATTATAGTCATTATTATTATCACTATCCTTAATATTATGAGCATCATCATTACACTATATAGTCATCCACTATACAATTACATAGATCCATATATCCATAAACAATTTTTTTTTTTTTTTTTTTTATCGCAGCGCAAACCAAAACAGAATCGAATCGCCAACGAACCGGCGCTGACGAATTCGTAGCGGAGTTCGAAGCCTTTGCCGCCGACGGACGAGTCGGTGACGAAGCGGACGCGGACGCGGTTGCTGAGCGAGGCCAGGGGGGCGGGGGGCGCGGCGCCGCACAGGCGGGATCTGGGGGGAGAAGGAGGGAATGAGGAAAGAGAATAAAGAGAATGAGGAGAGGGAGAATGAGAGAATAAGGAGCGAGAGAGAATGAGAGAATAAGGAGAGAGAGAGAATGAGAGAATAAGGAGAGAGAGAATGAGGAAGAGAATGCGGGGAGGGACAGAGAATGAGGAGAAAGAATATGAGGAGAGAGAATAAAGACAGAATGAGAAATAGAATGCAGAGAGAGAGAGAGAGAGGGTGGAGAAAGGCAGAAAGGAGAAACGAAGAGGGGGAAAGGAGAGAAAGGCATAGCAAAATGAAAGAAAATCAGACCAAAAATCAAGGAAAAAAGAAACAAGAACAAAAAAAAGGAAAAAAAGAAAGGAAATCAGACCAAAAATCAACGAAAAAAGAAGCAAGAACAAAAAAAAAAAATCTAAAAATCTAAATTAAAAAGATGAAATAAATCTAAACAAAATTAAAGAGGAAAAAACACGCCAAAAGAAGGTAAAGATGGGAAAACAAAGTAAACAAAAAAACAAGAAAAAGATGAAACTCAAAATGTAAAAAGAAAATAAGAAAGAACACTGAAAAGACAATAAAAATCAAATCAAAATGAAAATCCAAGCAAACTGAATAAAGAAAGGAAGACACAAAAAGATAAAAAATCGAATCAGCAAAACGAATGCTGAAAGAAAAAGAGAGAGGGAGAGAGAGAGAGAAAAAAAAAAGCAAAAAGGAAAAAGAAAAAAACCCAGGGACCGACCCGCCCAGAGGCCGCGCGGGCGCCGCCGCGTCGAGCAGCTCGACGTAATCGCAGCTACAGGAGCTGCAGGACTCGACGTCGAAGGCGACGAAGGCGAACAGGATGGTCGCGTCCTCCGGCGCCACGGTGCCCGAGGGCGCCGTCAGGACTGCGGGGGAGGGGGGAAGGTGTTCGGTGAAATGGTGGAAAAATAATAAAGATAAGATAATAAATACGAGAAATAATAAAGACAAGACAATAAACAAGACGATAAACAGACGCCCGTTGGGAATATCTCCAATAAACAAAAACAGCCTGATGTTGATCCTAAGAAACAATCAAGTAAGAAGACGGCGAAGAACAACTCGTTTCCAGAAGCCGATTCCCCGCAAAGCAAAGGATCCTCACGGCTGTGGGCGGCGCAGAGGGGGGCGGGCGTGGTCGTGTCGTACCAAACTCTCGTCGTGAACGCGGACGTGGTGGTCGTCTCGAGCCCTGGGGTCGATGTGCGTGACGTGCCTTCGGGGCAGAAAGGTGACGTCACTGTGCTTGCGTCCCTCTTCCCCCCCCACTCCCTCCCCTCTTTCCTTATTAACGTCAGCGTTATCATAATTATAAATGGTATTATTGCTAACATTATTACTACTACTATCATTAGCATTAATATTATGATTATAGTCATTATTATTATTATCACTATTCTTAATATTATGAGCATCATCATTACACTATATAGTCATCCACTATACAATTACATAGATCCATATGTCCATAAACATTTTTTTTTTTTATCGCATCGCAGCGAAAACCGAAACAGAATCGCATCGCCAACGAACCGGCGTTGACGAATTCGTAGCGGAGTTCGAAGCCTTTGCCGCCGACGGACGAGTCGGTGACGAAGCGGACGCGGACGCGGTTGCTGAGCGAGGCCAGGGGGGCGGGGGGCGCGGCGCCGCACAGGCGGGATCTGGGGGGGGGGGGGGAGAAGGAGGGAATGAAAAAGAGAAGGGGAGGGGAAAGAATGTGGAGCAAGTTTAACAATAAATCTAAAAAATAAAGAAGGAAAATCAAGTCAAAAGAAGATAAAGATGGAAAACAAAAAACAAAAAAAAAGAGAAAAACAAAAAGAAACTCAAAACATAAAAAGGAAATAAGAAAGAACAATGAAAAGACAAGAAAAGGCAAGTCAAAATGAAAATCCAGGCAAACTGAATAAAGAAAGGAAGACAAAACCAATGCTGAAAGAAAAAGAGAGAGAAAAAACAAAGCAAAAAGGAAAAAGAAAAAAAGCCAGGGACCGACCCGCCCAGAGGCCGCCCGGGCGCCGCCGCGTCGAGCAGCTCGACGTAATCGCAGCTACAGGAGCTGCAGGACTCGACGTCGAAGGCGACGAAGGCGAACAGGATGGTCGCGTCCTCCGGCGCCACGACCTCCCACTCGCACGAGAGGCCGTTGGGGTACGAGGAGGCCGAGGAGGCGCTCACGGTCCCCGAGGGCGCCGTCAGGACTGCGGGGGAGGGGGTTGAGTTCAGGGAAATGGTGGAGAAATAATAAAGAGAAGATAATAAATACGAGAAATAATAAAGACAAGACGATAAACAGACGCCCATTGGGAATATCTCCAATAAACAAAAATATCCTGATGTTATATCCTGGGGGAGTTCGGTGAAATATCCTGGGGGTGTTCGGTGAAATGGTGGAAAAATAATAAAGATAAGATAATAAAGAAATAATAAAGACAATATAATAAGTGCGATAAACAGATGCCCGTTGGGAATATCTTCAATAAACAAAAATATCCTGATGTTGATCCTAAGAAAGTGATCAAGTAAGAAGATGGCGAAGAATAACAAAGGATCCTCACAGCTGTGGGCGGCGCAGAGGGGGGCGGGCGTGGTCGTGTCCACCCAGGTTTCCGTCAAGGACCCCGTGGGGAGGATTTCTGGCCAGTAAGTCTGTCGAGTTGAGGACCGAGCTGGAAGAGTTTCTGGAAAAGTCCATTCACCTGGAGTGGTCCATTCATCTGGAGTGGTCGATTCACCTGAAGTGGTCGTTTCATCTGGAGTGGTCGTGTCTTCCCAGGTTCCCGTCGAGAACCCCGTGGGGAGGATTTCCGACCAGTAAGTGTGTCGGGTTGAGGACGGCGCTCGGGTGCCTGTTTGCAGTGGTTGTGTTTTGTCTTCAAGATTAAGATTTTTTCTTTCGTTCTCTTAATGCCATTTGTTGCTATTTATTTATTTATTTATTTTATTTGTATATTTTTTATCTATATTTATTTATATTTTTCATACGGTCATACTGTACTGATGGTGAGATAATAATGGCGATGGTGAAGGTGAAGGTGATGATGATGTGATGAAGGTGGTGATGGAGATGATGGTGATGATGATAATGATGTGAAAAAAAGGTGAACAGATTTGCCTTTAACTTACAATTTAATATGGAAGTTATTTCTGTGATTAGATCTGGACTGTATATATGTACATACTTATATTATCATTATTACCAAAACCATTACTGTTATTACGTAATTATTGTCCATATTATCATGGTTAACATTGTCAGTCGCATGGACAATAGGCAATTACCTACTCCTATCTCATCCTTGCTAATATTATTATTATATTTGATAAGTTGTTAACTTATTTATTCATTTATCTATTTATCCATTTATTCATGGCGAATTGCACAACGCTTCTTTAATTTCATACAAAACATTTAACATTTTGCTTAAGCTTTCGAACGCCAACTGCTTTAAGCGAGGACCTTACCGTGGTAGAGGCTGTCAAAGCTGACGACGAAGCCGGGGCCAACGACGGAGGAATCGGAACGGAACCTGACCACGACCTGGTTGCTGAACGAGTAGATGTCGTCTGGGACTTCGCTGCCGCACAGACGACCCCTGGGGAATACAAGTGCCTCGTGATAGTGCCCCGTTTGAGAGATAGTCGCGCGTTTGAGAGATAGTGCCCCGTTTGAGAGATAGTGACGCGTTTGAGAGATAGTGACGCGTCTGAGAGATAGTGACGCGTCTGATAGATGGTGCCCCGCTTGAGAGATAATGCCCCGTTTGAAAAAAATGCCCTGTTTGAGAAATAGTGCCCCGTCTGATAATTCAGTTGAGGAAGGATTTACGTGAACACAAACACGAACACGGTAATACATATGTACAGATTAAATTAAATGAAACACAGCTATTTATGTTGTGGCTGTGTTTCATTTGATGGGATTTCTGTGTTCATTTAGTCGGGATTCAGCCGACAAAGTTTTACTCGACTCTCAAACCAAGCTCAAGTTCGGTTTACCTCTATACAACTAGTTTTCTAGCCAGTTCTCGTGGGAAATAATGATCTATAATCAATGGCCTTCTTTGCAATTGGTAAATGCCATCAAGTAGTTTTTAACACTACTAAAAAATTGTTTTGAAGTTAGCCTAGACAACCCAATACAATCCCTGTGAGCTGCAATATAATGCAACCAAACCGAACGGTGGTACGTCGGAGTCCAGGGCTGAGTCTAGCAAGTGGAATCAAGGCTCAAGCTCAAGGGAAGGACGAATGAGATGGGCAGTTAGAAGGAACTACCACTTCACTCTCTAGTCTTCTAAGAGCAAAGGAAAATAACTTCTATGGACATGAACGAACTTGAATAAAGAAAGTAAAAAAGAACGAGAAAAGGGAAATAAAAGATATGTCACTCCGACAAGAGAATAGAAGATAAGACAGAAAGAAGGAAAACTAAGAATTAAAAAAAAGAAAGAGAGAGAGAGAGAGAGAGAGAGAGAGGAAGAGAGAGAGAGAGAGAGAGAGAGAGCATTATACTCACCCTCCGAGGTACTGTCCAGGTCTCGACAGGTCCTCCAGTTCCAGGTAATCAAAGACGCAATCTTCACTGTACTCCAAGTCGAAGCTCAAGAAGTGGAATAGAATTAATGTTCCTTCCGGCGTCGTCAAAGTCCACTCGCAGTCCATGTTGTTATCGTAAGGCAAAGAGTTCGGAGTTGGACTGATGGTTCCGAAGTATAGATCCAGTGCTGTCCAGTCAAAGGAAGGGTTGGACAACATGTTATTTTTCTCTTGTGTTTATTCGCTTTTTCTTTCGAGTGTGTGTGTGTGTATGTGTTTTGCTATATTTGTATTATTATCTTAGTAAGTTCTTGTGATCTGTCTTTCGAATTTGAAGTTTTTACTAGTTATCTAGCTTTGGAGATAGAAGGCTCAAGGGAGGACCTACCACCCTCTTGGTTTAAGCTGTGTTGGGCCTACTGTAAAAAGTTCTTTCCTACAACTCAATGTTTTGGTTTACTTTATATTATTTTTTATCGCAGCGGGGCATTGGTAACCTATACAAAATAATCAACCTGATCGTTAAGTACGGTTATGCAGAAGAAAATATCTCGCCTCATGTAGCTAATCGTGTTTTGAAACGAGTTCTGAATATAAGAAATGTAGCCAGGAAGACGGGCTATGGGAGGGACACTCAACCTCCCCCTACCCCGATCCAAGTACCCTCAAAGTCGGTCCGATATCCAAGTGGACGTAGGATACATGTCCATTGACAAGCATGCATACTAAGCCTCGAAACGATGCGGTAGTATGGCCATTTTTTTCCTACCAGAACATCCTACACTGAAAAAATGGTCTCGTAAGGAAACTGCCCTGCATAATATCTCACATCAAACCCCTTTATCAAGTAGAGGAGGTTTGAGGGCGAGGGTTTTGAATGGGATGTGTCGATATTCCTTAGAAAAGCTAAATGAAGCTAAATACATGTCTTCAGAAAGTCATGCAGCCTGGCTTTCTTGTTAGCTACTGACGTCCAAGGTGGCATCCGGAGACTTCGTGAAGCCTGATTGAATATCTTCACGTTAAGCATGTGGGTGTATCCTTACCCCCGTGGTATTACTGTATAGACGAAGTAAAAAATAAATTAATAAGTAATATAAAAGAAATAACATTAGCTTTTTTATTTTATTTTTTATTTTATTTTTTACTCAAGTGTCTTGTAGTGTTTATCTAATACAAGACAAATAAACAAATAATATGCTGTCAATAGGATGAGTGTCAGAAAAGCAGAAAAGGCTGAAAAACTACCTAGCGACAACGCAGAGAAGCAAATGACAGGTCGGATCCTCAGCGAAACTACCGTATACACTCTGGCGAACACTCAGTAAAAAAAGATAGATGTTAAGGACATTCATAACACCCAGTGAGATCCTTCATTTCCACGGGACTGATCCAAGATTCCTCCCAAAAGTGTATCCTAAGTAAAGGAAATGTGACAAAGTGTTCAGAAAAAAAATATTAATGTTATCTGCCGATTATCCTTATCTGGCAGTGTACAGAGACAGTAAGAGAATAAAGTTCAAAAAAAAGGCCAATAACAGAGGGCCAATAATAAAAGGACGACCAAAAGAGAAGCCCAATAAAAAATAACGTCCAAAAAAAGCCCAGTGATGAAAGGACGAACGATAAATAAGTAAATAATGGAAGGGCGGCCAAACTCAGAGACTCCGTAATAAAAGGACGGTCATAAACAGTGCAGAAGACTCTAAAGGAACATCTCGATGCGATTGGCTAATGCTATGGAACGAAAGAGTGAAGAGAAAAACAAATACAGATTGACATGTTGTAAATATCTGTCATAAAAAAAGTATTTAGCACTTTTTTTTAATGAAATACTGGCAGAACTATTACAGTTTCCATTCCCCCCACCCCCACCCCCCCTAATCAAAATCTCCAGACAGAAAATTACTCAGAATCATTAATAGGTTTTAATAGATAATCAAACTAAGTGTGGAAAGTGAAACCTCGGGGCAATGTTAACTTAGAGAATCCTGATAAATTGAAAAATCTGTTGTTACATGAGAGATGGGTGTTCTTGTTATTGTAATTAAGGAGCTGTATCAAGAAAATACGTTAATGAAAATGATAATGATGGTGACGATGATAATAGTGATAGTTATAATATAATACTAATAATAACTACAGTTGTAATCATAATTTATTATGTTATTATAAATATAATAATGATATAATAATGATAATTATAATGATAATGATAATAATAACAATAATGATAATAACAATAATAACAATAACAATAATATTAATAACTATGATAATAGGTAAATAAATGAATAAACAAATAAAAACGTGAACAAATAATCAAACAGATAAAAAAAGCAGTAATTAAACAAACAAGTAAATCCATAAACAGAAACAAATGCAAATGAACAATTCTTTCTTAAAAACCAATAACACCTAAAAAAAAAAAAAATCAATCAATCAATCATAACACTAAAAAGCGTAGCAATATGACCATCTGACGAAGAATTCTGGAACAATTCGTCAATTCTTACCAGTTGATCCGTTGCAGAAGTCTGTGCTGGCTGGAGTAGTCGTGTCTGTGGCAAGAATACAATATACAATAAAGATAATTTAGCCCTTTTGTGGTAAATTAGTGAATTCACGATGCATGTAAATGTGTTAGTTTGTGTAAATCATATATATCTATATCTATAAACTATAAATCATAAATATCTATATGTATAAATTATAAATCATATATATCTATATCTATAAATAATAAATCATATATATCTATATCTATAAATTATATATCATATAGATCTATATCTATGAATTACAAATCATATATATCTATATCTATAACTAATAAATCATATATATCTATATCTATAAATCATATATCATATATATCTATCTATATATGTCTATCTATATATCTGTATATCTATCTATCCATCTATCTATATATATCAATGTATAACGTGTATATATGCTCGCACATGCATGCACAAAGACATACATACATAGAGTCACGCAGAGATACATATATGGATACATTCATACCTATATACATACATACATAGATACATGCATACATTCATACCAGCATACATGCATTCATACGCACATACAAGCACATACAAATATACAGACAGACTTACAAGTATATATGATAGATAGATAAATAGACAGACATACAGATATATTAATAGACAAATATAGAAAAGTATGGCAATGAATTCTCACCATTTTCATACACAATAAAGGGCTCTAACTTTGTATAAGAGATACATAATTCATTTTCATGCTGTTATCCCTTTCATCAGCCTATGTTTTCATTCCTTCCCTTCATACATTTTCTTATTACTCTTTCATTCAATTTTATCATCCAAACCCCTATAATCTTCCTTCTCAACCGAACTCACTGCTTCTCTACCATTCCAAAATGCAGAAGAAATCATTAATCCACTTAAAAGAGACATTTGAACGAAATAAAATTCACAATTCCCTTAAGGGTGACATTCAAAAGGAAAATGGAAATGCATAATCAACTTAAAAAAAGCATTTAAACCAAAGAAAATTCACAATTTCCTTAAATGTGACGTTCAAAGGAAAATGAACATTCATAATCAACTTAAAAGAAGCATTTAAACCAAAGAAAATTCACAGTTCCCTCAAAGATGACATTCAAAAGGAAAACGGGAATTCATAATCCACTTAACAAGAAACATTTAAAACGAAAACGAAAAATATCTCACAGACGGAGTAGAGAGCGCTGAAAACGAGGTCGAAGCCGCGGCCAACGACAGAGGAATCGGAGTGGAACCTGACTACGACTTGGTTGCTGATGGACTGAATGGTTCCTGGCAAATCGGTACCACACATGCGCCCTCTGGAGAAGTTGTTTGGTGTTTCGTTAGCTCGATTCTATGCTCTGATTTTTCGTTTTATATTTTATTTTGTATTTGTTTTTTTCCCTATCCTATGCTGAGTTCGTCTTATATTGTATTTTGGTTTGATCTTAGGCCCTCAGCTCAGCTCTTCAAATCTAGACTAGCATCCCTTTTACAAAATAATGAAAAAAACAGAACCTACAGGTTACTGAATAAAAAAAAATACAGATCACTAAACCCAGAAAACCCAAAACCTACAGGTCACTGAATAAGAACAATAAAACTACAGGTCACTAGACCCAGAAAACCCAAAACTTACAGGTCACTGAATAAAAATAAAAAACTACAGGTCACTAGACCCATACAACCCAAAACCTACAGGTCACTGAATAAAAAACAAAAAAACTACAGGTCACTAGACCCAGAAAAGCCAAAAACTACAGGTCACTGAATAAAAACAAAAAAAAACTACAGGTCACTAGACCCAGAAAAGCCAAAAACTACAGGTCACTAGATCCAGAAAACCTAAAACCTACAGGCTGCTAATCCCGGAAATCCCAAACCCTACAGGTCACTAGATAAAAAAAAAAAAAAAATTACAGGTCACTAGACCCAGAAAACCGAAACCCATAGGTCACCAGTCCCGCCAACCCGACCGAAACCCACACGCGACCGACCTTCCAAGAGAGAGACCGGTCGCCAGGTCCTCCACCTCCAGGTAATCGAATCTGCATTCCGGGTCAGCCTCCAGGTCAAAGGAGAAGAACTCGAGGACGACCTTGGTGCCTTCGGGAGTCGTTACCCGCCACTCGCAGTCCATATTAATCATGTAGGAGGCGTTGACGGGGCCGTGGGTGATGAAGCCGTGGTCGCTGGTCAGGTCTACCCGAACAAAGGTTAAGGGTTCGAACACCGATTAATTATTTCGAAATATATACGTTTTTTTCCCGGATAAAAGTAAATCATTCGGATAAAGATAAATTTTTCGGATAAAGATAAATTATTCGGATAAAGATAAATTATTCGGATAAAGATAAATTATTCGGATGAAGATAAATTATTCATATGAAGGAGAATTATTCGATCTAAGAGACATTATTCGGACAAAGGGAAATCATTCAAACAAAGACAGATTATTCGAACAAAAGGAAATTGATTCGAACGGAGATAAATTATTCGAACTAGGACTGATTATTCGGACGAGGAGAATTTATTCGAAAAAAAAATATGAGTTATTTGAACTGGGTTTGATTGATTGAACAAAGATCGGCCTGATGTTGCCGGATGCGCTGTTCAACCTTGCAGGCAGTGGATGAAGCTCGCGTCATTTTATAAAGGCTTTGTAGGAACATTCTCGACATCGATCATGATCCTGATTTTCATGTTATTTTTTTAAACTTAGAGTGAAGATTCAAGTAATATGAGAGCGCACTATCAATAATTATTGTAGTTTTTTTTTTACCGATTGTTCCATTGCAGAAGGATGGAGGCGGTGGAGGCGGTGAGGGTGGTGGAGGCGGTGGAGGCGGTGAGGGTGGTGAAGGTGGTGTAGGCAGGGTGTAGACTACCTCATAGTAGAGGGCGAAGCCACTGCCTACGACGGAAGAATCGGAGTGGAACCTGACTACGACCTGGTTGCTGACGGAGTAGATGTCGTCTGGGACTTCGCTGCCGCACAGACGACCTCTGGGAAAAGCAAGGAACCTTGTGGGTTAATCAAACTTTTTCCATGACGTCAATCCACTCGAATCTGGGTAAAACTCACTTCACTCCTCCCCCCACCACACCTGGACCCTTGGTACAGTTTCCTGAACATCATTTATACCCTAAACTAGGACTCAGTTGAACGGCTATCTGATGACCAGAAAATGATACAGTATAAGACGATCTGGTCACAAGTAAAGACGTAACAAGTGAAAATACGAAACAGTGTTTAATATAACTCCAACGATGTCCAGCTCAAACCACACACCCTGTGAGATTAAGACCAGGCACCGACAGGTCCTCTAGCTCCAGGTAATCGAAGACGCAGTCCGTGGAGTCCTCGAGGTCGAAGCTCTCGAAGTGGAAGCGGACGAGCAAATTCCCCGGCATCGTGACCCTCCACTCGCAGTCCATGCTGTTCTCGTAAGTGCCGTTGTAGCTCGGCCTGATGGAGCCGGCGATGCTGTTCATCTCTGCAGTCAGTGGGTGAGGCTGGTGTCATGTTATCAAGGCTTTGTGCGAACTTTACCGAAATCAGCAGTTATGTATGAACTTTTGTTGATTGTATATAAATGGCCTTGGTCACGATTCTCATGTTATGATAAAGTAAATATTCAAGCAATCTGATAGAGCACGAGCATTTTTTTTACCATATGTTCCATTGCAGGAGGACAGAGGCGGTAGAGGCGGGATGAAGACTGTCTCAAAGTGGAGGACGAAGCCGCGGCCAACGACGATGGAATCGGAGTGGAACCTGACTACGACCTGGTTGCTGAAGGAGTAGAAGTCGTCTGGGACTTCGCTTCCGCACAGACGACCACTGAGGAACAGAAAGGCCTTATATAATGGCAAAACATTGTCCACGCCGTCAGTAATTGAACGACGGAGCACATGAGAGGCAGTAAAGTTGTATAACGTTGCTGGATCAGCTAGTACCTCGGCCTAACCATTTCGAAGATTATTTTCGAATTCCACTGAAGTGTTCGCGGGTGGGTGGGTGTTACTTTTATAGACTGTTCTGCCCTGTAAAGAAAATCCCTCTAAGTGACGGGAAGTTTTAATAATCTGGATGAAAATGTGAAGGCAACGCCTGCCACAAGAGGAAGCCCGGTGCTAAAAGGTCAAAGAACTTCAAGCCAGTTTTAAAAGAAGGTTAAAATAAAAATATAACAATAAGAAGAACTTTGACATATCTGACCTCATGATAGGGATTACAGTAGGTAATATCAAAATCGAACATTCCAATTTTGCTCCAGTAAGGCATTAATGCACAAGGGTGAACTCTGCTCACCATTGGTTGAACTGTTTAGGTTTATGCCCTCGTTACTTAGCTTTTATTCGCGGGATATAACGGTTAATTGGGTAGGTGTTCAGTCATGAACGTACTCGAATCTGGTCACCCCCCCCCCCCGCCCCACCTAGACCCTGTTGTGGTTATTACATAATTTATATCCTAAAGAAGGACTCGAATGACTGGTCATCTGACGAACAAAAGAGAATACAGTATAAGACGATGCAAAACATGCTTAATGTAGCTCCAACGAGGTCCAGACCCAACCACTCACCCCGCCAGAATAAAACCGGGCATCGACAGGTCTTCCAGCTCCAGGTAATCGAAGCCGCAGCCCGTGGAGTTCTCGAGGTCGAAGATCTCGAAGTGGAAGTGGACAAGCGAATTCCTCGGCGTCGCCACCCTCCACTCGCAGTCCATGAAATTTTCGTAAGTGTCGTTGTAGGTCGGCCTGATGTAGCCGGAGAGGCCGTCCATCCCTGCCGCCGACGTATAAGGCTTTTGAGTCGTGTTATCAAGGTTTCGTAAGAATAGTCTGGACGTTAATACGAAGGCTTGTTGATTAACTATTTCCGAACATAGATAAAGGATTATGATGCACATTTTCCTTTAAAAAATATGGAGAACTGAGGAAAATAAATGTTCACAACACCCGCAATCAGCGAATAGTCTTTCATTCTCACCATACGTTCCATTGCAGACGAGTGGGGGAGGGGGAGGCTGAGCGAACACAGCATCGAAGTGGAGGACGAAGCCGCGACTCGTGACAGAGGAATCGGAGTGGAACCTGACCACGACCTGGTTGCTGAAGGAGTAGATGTCGTCTGGGACTTCGCTGCCGCACAGACGACTTCTGAGGGACAAGGGCGTGTTAAGGAAATGTTCGTCGTGATGGCAAGGACTAATTAAAAGACGCGAGAAGCAGTAAGGAGGTGGGAAGTGTGCGTGTGTGTGTGTGTGTGTGTGTGTGGTGTGTGTGTGTGTGTGTGTGTGTGTGTGTGTGTGTGTGTGTGTGTGTGTGTGTGGTATGTGTGTGTGTGTGTGTGTGTGTGTGTGTGTGTGTGTTTGTGTGTGTGTGTGACTGAGTGTGTGTGTGTGTGTGTGTGCGTGTGTGTGTGTGTTTGTTTGTTTGTGTGTGTGTGTGTGACTGAGTGTGACTGAGTGTGTGTGTGTGTGTGTGTGTGTGTGTGTGTGTGTGTGTGTGTGTGTATGCATTTTGCGATTTAAACGAAGAAATGAATCAAAAAGTGATTATAAGAAAATCTAGCCAAAAGATACTACTACCCTCCCCCCTGGCCCCCTCCCGCTGGCCCCCTCCCCAGACCCAGCCACCCACCCCGTCAGAATAAGACCAGGCACCGACAGGTCTTCCAGCTCCAGGTAATCGAAGCCGCAGCCCGTGGAGTCCTCGAGGCCGAAGCTCTCGAAGTGGAAGCGGACCAGGGAGTTCTTCGGCGTCGTCACCCTCCATTCGCAGTCCATGTTGTCCTCGTAGACGGGGAGATACGAAGCCATGAGGTCGCCCGAGAAGCCGATTTTCTCTGCAGTTCAAGATTTGAGTTTATATTTTTTCTTTCTTTCTTTCTTTTCTTTTTTTTTTTCTTTTTTTTGTGTGTGTTTTTTAGTTGTTGTTTTTTTTTAGTTGTTTTTTTAATCAGTAAGGTTTTTTTTGAGATCTTTTTTTTTTGTTTGGTTGTTGTTGTTATTGTACAAACTTATCGTATGGAAGTTTTATGGCGTTACTTTGCTTTTGTAGGAACATTTTTTTTTTTTTTTTTTTTTTTTGTGTGTGTGTGTGACTGAGTGTGACTGAGTGTGACTGAGTGTGACTGAGTGTGACTGAGTGTGACTAAGTGTGTGTGTGTGTGTTTGTATGTGACTGAGTGTGACTGAGTGTGACTGAGTGTGACTGAGTGTGACTGAGTGTGACTGAGTGTGACTAAGTGTGTGTGTGTGTGTTTGTATGTGACTGAGTGTGACTGAGTGTGACTAAGTGTGTGTGTGTGTGACTGAGTGTGACTGAGTGTGACTGAGTGTGACTAAGTGTGTGTGTGTGTGACTGAGTGTGACTGAGTGTGACTGAGTGTGACTGAGTGTGACTGAGTGTGACTGAGTGTGACTGAGTGTGACTGAGTGTGACTGAGTGTGACTGAGTGTGACTGAGTGTGACTGAGTGTGACTGAGTGTGACTGAGTGTGACTGAGTGTGACTGAGTGTGACTAAGTGTGTGTGTGTGTGACTGAGTGTGACTGAGTGTGACTGAGTGTGACTGAGTGTGACTGAGTGTGACTGAGTGTGACTAAGTGTGTGTATGTGTGTGTGTGTGTGTGTTTATGTATGTATGTGTGTGTGTGTGTGTGTGTGTGTGTGTGTGTGTGTGTATGTGTGTGTGTGTGTGTGTGTTTTGTGTATGTATGCGTTTATGTTTAGGTTTTCGTATGCGTTTCTTTATCGAATGCCAACGACCAACATATAACTTTCTTTTAAAAATCAAAACAACATCCACACACATGACATCCAAACGAAACGAAACAACCTACCAACCAACCAAACAAACAAACAACCAAACACCCACAAGCCTCACAAACCTCGTTCCGTTGGCGTGACGTAATGAAGTAAGACGAAGCCAGTGCCAGCAACAGACGAATCGGAGTGGAAACGAACGACTACGGGGGTCGTGTGCGTGGTCGTCGGGGGAGAAGGAAGCTCGAAGCCGCAGAATTTCGAGCTGTTGGGGGGGAAGGAGGGAGGGAGGGTGGTTGGGAGGGAAGAGGGAGGGAGGGAGGTGGGGGGGAGAGGGA